ATCTTTCCATCGCTGTATCTTTCTTCGCCCTAGCCAAATAAACAAGCGGGGCGCAGTGGAGGTCCACCGGCGGGAATCGCGTGGATTTTCAGCAAAGTGGCGGGGCAGGCAAAGTCAGGCATCGGGGCTGAGACTTAGCAGCTTTCAGCGTCTGGTTTTGGTGTATTTTTCGATCGGGGGTGGGGGGGAAAAAAAATCAGGCGCGAGCGGCCCAGGTGCCCTGTTTGCAATCAGCCGGGCCAGGGCCCAGCCCAGCCGCTCAGGGAAGCTCGGCGCGCGGCGCTCCCCGCGGCTGCAACCCGCCGGGCCAGTGTACTGCCGCGCGCGAGCTTCCCGGTCGTCCCGTTCTGGCGGCGCCTGCCCGGATCCGCGTGGCTTTTATGTGCATATGTACACATATATGCACACACATATATATGTTTTGTTGCAATAGAAATAAAACACCCTCTGGGTACCATTAGGACCACCGACCGCCTGCGTGCGTACAAGTCCTCCGCGCTCCTTGTCAGGTTGGGGACAGACTGCCCGCGAGGAGCTGGAGAGGGCTGCGCACCCCGCCGCCGCTTAGGACTGGCTGCAAGGCGGCCAAGAGCCGAATATTTATGTTATATTTTAAAAAATTTAAATAAATAAATAAATATATAAAGGGGTTCTCCCCTCCCCTGAAAACACGGCGTCGGAGCCATCTGCTTGGAGCGTTCGCTGTTGCAGTATTTCTCCTTTGTTACGGCAGATACATTAGTAAGAATTTGTGGGTTTATTATTTTGGGGGTGGGGTGGGGTGGGGAGGGGAGGAGGATAGCTATTAAAGTGGGCTTTGGCTTGGGTAGGGGCTGCCTTTTTGGAGGGAGGGACGAGGAGTTCTCATATGATGATGAATTTATGCCATCAAACCATCCAAGAAGACTGGCTGGTTGCATTGGAAACAAAATATTTTGCAACCAGATTGGAACCTGGTTTGGTCCAGGCCTTTTTCTCGACTTCACATTTCGTTCCTTTACCAGCCATGGCCATAGCTTAGCCGGTTCCCCTTTTATTTTAGATGGTGGGGTGGTGGTTCAAAGGCTACTGACAGATGCCTGATTTCTCCAGGAGGCAATTTGCTTCAGTAGCCAGCCTTTGTATAATTGCCAGAGTTGTTTTTGAGGCAGGGGTGTGTGTGTATGTGTGTGGGGTGTCCGTTGGGTGTGCATTGACAGGAGCCAGCAGAGATAGCAGTTGTGTGTAATGGGAAGGAGCAGGTAGGTTTGCCTGGCTATTAGTTCTTTTCCTTGCCTGGCGTTCCTGGGCCAGCGGGAGAAAGCCTTAGCCACAGGACTGGCTACTGCTGGGCATGGGATGGGGTGGCGAAGGCAGACTACACAGCATCTCCATCCTTCATTTGTTCCGCGTCTCTCTCAGCCTGGGGACAGCCGACTGACACACGGTGGCAGGGTGGGAGAAGAGCGGGGCTGGAGACAGAGGGCCGAGGAAATCCCGCCCGTCTTCCCAGGAGCATGGGAGCTGGGACATGGGCAGGGGCTTTGAGCAGCAAGAGTAGTCCAACCAGTTTTCAGACCCCTCTATTTATCATCAAAAAAGCAACTGGGTTTTCTCTCTGTCCTGCCTTCATCTAGAAGTGGGAGCTTAGGCAAGGGAAAGGCAAGCAGGATTCGGAGGATGCAGTTTTCGGCCACCTGGCCTGCGGAAGTCCCTCCCAAACCACTGCTGGTTTACGGTACGCTGGAGGGTCTGGCTAGCAAGATGGGTGCTATCATAGCCCCCCTGCCCCCTTGGGTTTATAGTTCAGATTGTAAATGTGCAAGACATCACTTAAAAGGTGGTACATCTTTCTCAGTTGGGCAGAAGCAGTCTCAGGTTCTACAGGGATGATGCAACTTTGGATAACTGACGGCTAGGCAAAGACAAGAGTGCACACATAGCACTGATAATCGTTGTCCTAGGCCCGGTCCAGCTGATTGTATTTGCAGACATGGGCCATCGAGAGAGGGGTGACCTATTAAAGGGCATTTGGGAGACAGCGGGGGGGATGCTAACCTAGACTTCTGATTTGTTTCAAAATGTTTGACCAAGATGGCTATAGCTTTTAAAGCCGGAGGACAGACACAGCTATTTAATAAAAACAAACACCAATCTACAAAGTGACAATAGGAACAAGAGTGAAGGTAAGGGGATGAAAACTGTCAAGGCAGAGGGCAGTACTTGCTGGCACTGAGAGGACCTGGGGAAAGGAAAGCGGACTCACAAAAGACAAGTGTTGTTGCTTTTAGAAGAAAATAAGACGTTCACGATGAATCAGTGAAGGTGATTTCTCAACAACCCACCAACACCAACAGGTTTCCTGGGAAGATTAGTGATTTTCTATATGAATCCACGATTTTGCAAAACAGCCCGAGACCCAAGATTTGAGGCATAAGTTCGGCTAACTGTGTTAATTCTAGGCTTGCCTTTTAAACGACATTTTGCTGTAACTGTTTTGAAGCAAGTGGTTGTGTTCACAATTACCTGAACTCTCCAGTGTGTGTGTGTATATATATAAATATATAAATATAAAATCTCCAATTGTCCACATGTCTTTCGAACTAGGACCTCTGATTTGTTTCCTAGGACTTGGCCCCTGTCTCTCATTCTGCCTGTCTTTCTGCTTTTTTGTTGGTGGGGGGTATAGTTTGTCTTTTTCTGCACAAAAGGGAACCCCCCATATCATTAGAAGTGTGATGTAAGTCAGCTGCTCCGATTCCACGGGAGAATAAAAATGTGTTCATCAAAGGTGTTATACCAGGCTGATTTTATTCATTTGCCATTCACACTTGTGAGAAAATAACCATGAACATATTTTAACAACCGCTAATATTTTTAAAGGGTACATATATATTTTTTTTCTCTCTCTGAATATTATGCGTCTTTATTTTATTTTATTTTGGGGGGTGGGTGGGAGGCATGCTGCTGTCTGCCGTGCACTTTGGCCTTGGAGACTTTTGTCTGGCCTTTTACAGGCTTTCCTAACCTCAGATTTCGTCATGTTTCAGGTGCTGGGCACCTATAGCTGCATTAATGAAGCTGCCTTCTCAGCTGGGAGCGTTGGACAGTCGGGAATGGTGTTGGGTGGGGCATTAACTTCCTTTCAGTCAGGCCAGCTTTGACGATGATTAGAATTAGGTCTCAGGTGAAATAGAGGCTTGTCAGACGGGACCCTATTACAGATACCATTTTCTAACTTCAGAAATAACGCAGCGTGCCTCTCGGCATTGCCTTTTTGCTCTGAACGAGGCTCCCACCAGCCACTTCTTTCCCCCTTTCGTGTCTCATCCCCATGGCTTTAGGTTCTCTGCTGATTGTTGTGAGAAAATACTTTCCCCAAAAAAACTTTCAGTTGAATTGGCTTTTGGTAGGTGGCAAGGCTGGGCCGCTGCGTCGCGCCGAGAGCAGACTTGGCAGCTAGGGGGAGCTCCGTGCCCGTGTCTTAGGCAGTGCTGAGGCTTTAACGAGCGGCCCTCTTCGGCTGTGCCGGTGGTATGTTGCTGCAAACTGTCTTTAAGTGTGAAGTTGTAATATTGATTTTCCTGCAGAGAGTCATGCCGGACAAAATGAGAATCTAAGTTTGAGAACTCGATTGTCAAGGCGGTGGTCGTTGATTGACTAGCTCAATTTGGGCAGATGGGGGCATCATGTTCCTTTAAAAAAAATTATTTATTTTGGAACAATTAAAATGGTTAGTTTTGCATGGTGTGTTCTCCCTACCCCCCTACTCCACTGTCTTGTATTTCTGAAAACTGTTTGCTCTTGTGTGGAGGGGACTTGGTGAAAAGGAGTGAGCATTCTTTTGGGCAAAGCTGTCTGTTCTTAGTGTACCACAAACCAGAGAATTGCAGCTTCCCAGTGTCCTCTGCCCTAGACAGCTGGGTGAGTGGAAATCCTTTTAGCTCCTGTTTTATAACCTGGGATCCTCAATTGCACCTGGTAGGTAATGTTCCCACTGTACAAAGAGAAATAACACCACTCCCCAAAGATACAAAATGCCAACTCGAATCACATGCAGAACTTTTTTTTTGGAAAGGAGTGTATATATACTTCTGAAAGGCGGCTCTGCCGATAGCTTTTAATGGACCCTCTCTCCCCTA